TGTTAAAATGTACAAAACAGTGATGTCATGTTTTGTGACGAGGACCCAGGCACAGAGAGACTTGATGAATTTAAGAATCTTATGATTACAGACTAATAAAAAAAGACGTAGTTTCATTTTATCAGACAATGCAGAGGTGGACTTTCCTCTGACCATGACAACAGGAAGTACTAATAGTATTTCCATTATTTGTCAGTGTGATATTCATGTGAATGTTCACAGGATGTCCTCTGCAAACAAACAACCAAAGTACAGAGAGTACCCGTACAGGAAAGAAGCAGAGAAAGGATATCCTCATAACAAAATATTTTAATACATTTTAAACATTTTTTTATTTAAGGAAAACTTCATCTTCAATCTAATATTTCATTTGGTTTGTAAATCGGACACTGAATACACAAACCAGTGTATGTGCCATTAGTGCATGTGTGAGAAGATGTTTTCTGAGTGGAACTATGCTGCAGGATATTTTAAAGAAGCAGCACCTGCAGTAAGTAGGATTCATGCCTGAGCTAAAGGAACATCCTTTAACATCCACTGGACCATTGGGATCAGCCATTTCCCTTAGGCTGGCCCCTTGGGCCACCAAATATCCATATCTACATTAAAGACGCATTTCTCTTCATGTGTGGGTATTCACACACCCAGAATGTCATTGTACATTGCTGACATTGTGTCACGTCTCCACAGTCGGCGCTTGTGGATCCTGTAGCTGCTTCTTCAAGCTCTTATCCAGCAGCACCAGGCTCTGCACCGCCAGACTCCTGCAATCTGCATCCGGGTCTCCTTCAGCAACATCTGTGGACAGTAACATTATTATTAGTAGTAGTAGTATTGATAGCTTTCAGCATTTTTCCCAAACAATTTGCAACCTGTAAAACGGAAGTTGTGACCCCTCTGACCTGTATCACTCAGCTCTGAGTTTTTTTCCCATTGGGATAAAAAAAAATATATATATATATAGCCAATCAAATCAGGGGTGTCCTGTAATACAGGACACCCCTGTATTACAGGACATCCTGGTTCCTCATCGGCTTCCCAGAAATGTCCAGTCCAGCTGTGAATGACTGTGCAGTATCTTTTTGTGTGTTTGTAAAGACAGATTGCTGACAGTTATCAGGTGCAGGTGCGGCATTGGGCTTTTTCTTTTCTGTCATTAAAAAGTCACACCACAATTTTCTTTAACATTTTTTTAATACCTGCCAGCCAAGACCTAGTCTCAAACAGCTGATCACCGATGTCCACCAGCAGGTTCTGACTGGGCATGCTCAGAAACACAGAGCAAACAGCGAAGAGGACGCCTCGTCTCACCATCCTTTAACACACAGAATTCAGGTTAGATGAGAACAAAGGTCCACAGATATTTTTCTGTGTTACACAACAGAGACAAACAGAGATAATGAATCACACATACTGGTCAGCATGGTACCGCACTGCCCACACAAAGTCCAGCAAAGCGCAGCCCATCTGTGCGGCTATCTGAAGCAAAATAACAGAGGCATTGTAAAACAAATACAGCATCTATAATAGGCCAGAGAAGGAGAAATTCATGTACCGGTGCATTGACTGCTAGATGCATAAAGAGGCCCAAAGTGTGGATCAGCCTGCCCAGTACCAGGTGGTCACTGCCCAACAGGTCAAAGGTCACCTGAGGCCTAGCAGGAAGGTATCATGTATTAAACAAATGTTCTCTTACAGCTGAGTTCATGGATTTGAAAAAAAGGATCATGCTTACTTGTCATAGTTTTTAAGCAGAGGGAAAAAGAAGTGCCCGGCAACAGGGGCATAGCGGTTTGGTGTTGCCTTAGTAACAGGTTGGACGGCTTTCTGTGTCAAAAACACACAAAATTACTTTTCAGAGTGAGCTTGCACTCAAATTCCAAATCACAAGAGAGACTGGAAGTCTGGAAGTACCTTAGTGAGGCGTTTTGTCTTGCTTTGGATTCGCTTTTCTACCACCTGTTGCCAGTGAACAGGGTTGTCACCGGGGTATGGAGTCGACTCAGCTGTTGTAGCAGAGCTTATGGTTGCAGCTTTCTTTTCAGTGACTGGTTTAGAGAGCTCCTGAGCTGCTAAGGCAAGAACCTGTGATATCAAATAATAGAGGCCATAATTACATGATATGTAGCAATGATCAAAGACCATCACTCAGATAACCACTATGACCTCTCGTTTTACCTCCAAGATATCAAGTCTCTGGCGCAGACTGTAGTTCAAGGAGTAAAACTCTGTAGTTAAATAGTGAGCCACCTACCAAAGGACACAGAAATACAGTTTGGTTATGAATGAAAGTTTGTGGAGCTGTGTGTAGTTTGTTAAGAGAAGGCAAACATACAGGAATACAGTCAGTGACAGTGAGAGCCACCATCGTCGCCTGCCTGAGGTACAGGAAGCCGTTAATGTTGTATTTGTCGTCCATATGAAGGAGGACTTTGGACATCTGGACACTGATCTGAAAACAAGAATGAAAACACCTACATTATAACATCAATTAATTTTACCCCTATCTTCCAGAGGAAATATTCAAATCTTAGAGCCTCTGTTATTCCCGTCGTACCTCTCTGGCTGCAAAACTGTTCTTCCGCACCAAACTTTCAGCAGCTTTCAAAGCGAGCTCCACGCGCACTGGGTCCTCAGAGGATATTAAAACTAGATAAGTTTGAAATATGAGGACATGCTGGAGTGAGAATATGACACAGGTGATCACATAAGACAAACAGGGATGAGATGGGTGAAGCCATACTTTCCAGGCAGTCTCGTAGGTAGCGAGGCGGGGACGCCTTACTGATCTCCTGATCTCCAGACATATCATATGGAGTGAGCTCATCGTCACTGGAGTGATAAAAGGTTAATCGTGCACTTTTATATATGCTCTAAACATGTAAAAGTTGTTTTAAAAAAAAAAATCTTTAAAGGATGTTATTCTTATTGAATGCTTGACATTAGGGCTGTTCGATATAACGATATATATCGGATGACGATATAAAAACGTCTATGGTTTCATTTTACGCTATTGTTTGTTTCGTGGTGTCGCAAAATAAACTGTTTACGGCAATATTTTTTAATCATTTTGATGGTCACTGTAGTGGCTATATTTATTTCTTAAAGTTCTCTCTTTCTCTTATATTCAATATAACCACACTACAGACGTACAAGCGCCTGTTTTTATGCATTGTGGTTAGCAACAATGACGGTAACAGCATCGCGTGTCCGCTTGTTTATGTTCCACATAAACCTTTCACAATAAAGCTCAAGAACCTGTTGAGACTTTTCAAAATAAACTGAATCAAAAGAGCCGTCAGGTACTAAAAAATAAACCTTAGACTGAAACATTAGAACAGGATTTTCCCCGCAGCACGCCGTGTAATAAATACTCACAAAGAAAACGGCGGACGTTACAACTTATGTCTAAAAATGTATAGTTTCATGCATCTGTTAAAACACTCGACTCCAGCTACATGACGCGCAGCTGGAAACACTTCCCGCAAGACGAGCTGATTCACAGAATTTACAGAAAATGTTACATTTTTGTGATTTATTTCGTTATCAGGACGATAGAATTCTTATATCGGGATATGAGATTTTGGTCATATCGCACAGCCCTACTTGACATACCTATCGAGATCAGAGTCTGGATCCGTTTTTAATGCCTGAGCTCCTGATGTAGTTTGCGATGCATTCTGAGCTGACTCAGCTGTTTCAGCGGTCTCTTGAGGACCGTCAGCTCTGCAGATGACAGATGACACAATATTTATGTATTTGTATTTAATACATATTGCATACATTTAAGATGAATCAGATCATTTTTAAAATTTTAGGTAAAAAATTTCAGGATCCTTAAAAAATAATATTCTCATCACTTAGCAAGTCAGCTAATTGGCAGTTTCATCTTTTTACATCTTTAAGCAGAAGTGACAGACAGAGTATGACCTACCTATTTACGGGCTCAGCCTCTGGTTCGTCACAGGCGCCGGGAGCCAATACAGACAGCAGCTCACGAGTCTCTTCGTCCTGATCGTACTAGAACACGACACCGCATCACCTCACACACAAGCCTCACAGTCCAGTACAAACAATGACAGGCTGCCTCGTGGTGGCTTGTTATATTTGCTTCTGCTATAAATTAACCGTACCTCAAATTTAAGCTTGGTTCCATTGATATCCATGCGGGAGCTCAGGTACTCTCCAATCACCATCCCCATATGCCTGATCCGCACCACGTTGCTGTCAAGGTGGGTCTGCATGCCGCCAAGCATACACTGAAGTAACTCTGAGAGAGACGGATTCAACCGGTCAGTGTAACTGACTTCAGTTTAATCAAGTATTTTATTACTTCAGTAGCTGTTTTGTAGTATCTGATTAGTATCAGTAGTAATTTTACTGCTGAAAACTCTGACTGATTTTTATTTAATGTACACAAATATGAAGATGTAAAAATATAACCAATAAATTATCTAGTAAGGGTCATGCAGAAGCTCCAGAATAGTTAATAATGGAGTTTGAAGTGATCTTATGCTCCGTGAGGTCTTTCTTAATTAAAAAACAAATAAACAAAAACAGACCAACATTCATGGTTTAATTTCATCGTCCTCAGAGTCACAAAGCAGGAGGCTTTGTTATACCTGAGCGTAGCTCCTGTATCTCAGAGTCTTTCAGCAGGCTCACACTCAGCAGGAGGGCTTTGCTGACGTATAACTGCTGCTCCAGAGGCGTGTGTTTCACTGCGCTGGAGTTAGACCAGGCCTGGGACACAGACCGTAAAACCTGAAAACGCACATATACCAAAATCATTAACTAACACATTAGCACTGCTGAGTGAGGGTGTGAAGTGGTTATTTATATTCTAATATGTTTATAATATTAGGCTGCTTAACTTCCCATCCACCCACCTGGATAAGAAGAGGTCTGCGATCCCTGTCTGCTGCGAGGTAACCAAGAATAATTCTCAGAACACGAGTCTAGGAAAAGAGCCGCAGATTAAAGCACGATATTCATAACACGTATAACTGTCAGGGAGGAAGTTACTGTAGTACCTCATACTTATATTGCAGTAACAGAAGTTTATGAGTGATGACAAACTGAGCCTTTTTATTTGTCAGCACTAGGTTTCCGATGATCCTGCCCAGTGCGTCCGGCCTGAAGAAACAAAAACACAACAAACGTGCGCCATTAAACACAGATCTGACAGCTGGATAAATTAAAAAGACTTTCCCAGATTCTCCGAATCTGCAACAGTCTCACCCACTAATAGCCTGCACCAGCCCAGTGAGCACGCTCTCCATCCATCGCTGGGGAACATTTTCCAGCAGCTTCCAGCAAACCCTCTGCCACACCATGTCTGAGCGCGTGCACGCGGACAGACGAGGAGCCATCACAGCCAAGACCAAACCTGCAGCAGGACAAAAGTGAAGAAAAAAAATGAGAATGGTCAGAATTTATACAAGTTCTGATGGCAAAAGAGAGCAAAGCGAGTAGTAGCAAGGTGCATTTAATAAAGTAGCTGGGGGAGAATAAGTAATAATAGGATGTTCTGACAGCAAAAGACATGCAGGAGGTTGTGGAACAATGGGAGGACACACTGCAGAGGTTTGCAAAGTGTGGGGAGCAGAGCCACTGGAAAACCAGGTGAAAAATAAACTGATATGTTTATTTTAGGAAAAACATGTTTTCTAATGCGCTGATCTTTATTTAATTTAGCGGGAGTATGAATTTTTTTCAGGTTCTGAAGGCTGGCTTTCAACCCGAAAAAGCTTAAGGACTCCTGCAGTACAGAGACAAACAACTATAACCAAATACATCCTTAAACTCACCGCTGTGCCCCTGGATACACACTTTTCCAAGTGTTTGAGCCACAAAAGTCAAATTACAGTCCGTTCCAGCTACAAATTACAAACACACAGAATGAGAGATTACGATGTCTCCTGGCACACACTGTAGTATTCCTAATAATGTGTCATCATTGCTTTACAGATGCCCCTCACCTCTGAGTGCCTGGCAGGTGTGCTCCAGGGCCGTGAGCATTTCTGTGGCCAGCAGTGGGTAGTACTGCTGAGGACGGAAAAGAGCTCTGTTGTTTAGCTGTAGCTTGTTGGCGGTAATGTCTGGCAACGCGCTAATACGCCCCAGCAGCGTCTCTCTGAGCTGTGGCGAGTCAGAGGGCGCTGCCTCCAGACAGTAGGACCAGAGCAGCTCAGCCAGGCGACCACGCTGAAGGAACTTCTCAGTGATGCTGACCACGTGGTCCAGATTTGAGGTGGGTCTGCAGGGGCGAGACACAGGCATTAAGGTTATTAAACAAGATGATGATAAGCACGTCACACCCAGCACCACCCACCTCAGCTCTCCTATTGCATCCATCAGCACCAGGAGCGCCTGCTCTGGAGGTCCTGCGAGGAAGAGGCCGTCCCACAGCTCTGCGCGCTGGGCTGCTGTCAGCTGGTGTAACCAGTCAGCCTGAATGTTGCTGACCAGCAGCTGCAGAGCGGAAGAGTAGTGAGCTCTCCTGAACTCTGCACGCTCAGCTGAGGTGGCTGTGCTGTCCGGTCCTTCATCCAAGTAGGAGTGGAGTGTCCGAAGAGCCGTAATGATGTCTGAGCTGTCCGTGGATGACTTGAGTGTGCGGAAACACCGGGTCACCGTTAGTCGCACGTCAGTATTTGTAGTTAGCGACTCCATTTATTTATTTTTTAACTGTATTATAATGACAAGCAGCAGTGTTTCTACAAAGGTCTAGCCTCCAACTTACGAAGAAAAGTAGAGAAATAAAAACTTGTGCTACAAAGAATGAAGTCTACTCGAGTCCCATATGTTGAATGGGTTAGCTTCAGCTGTTAGCCTGTCAAGCTGATGTGCAGCCGCACATTTTTATAACGACACGAGCTTTCATGAGCACGATTTACACTCACAGTAAAATGAGGACTTTATTTTCAGGGGAAATTATCCGTCCCCACGGACAGCTGTGGATTCAGCGAGAGAATCATGCCGCCGGAGCTGTTTGTGACTCCGAGAGTGCAGCACCAAAATACGCTCGTGGTGAGCAGGATAGAATTGGTTCCGGGTATAAACAGTCCGATGTGGCGTTCAAGAAACCTACGATTTATTTAATCTATTTTGGTAACGTTGCAGATTGTCTAATCAGTGGATAACCTCCCTCATATCGATTAACAACACACTTGGATACGCATAATTTATTGTAAATATAACAAGAAATAAAACTATGACTTCGTGCCTTAATGCCAACAGCAAAAGGCGAAGATATAAAAGTACATTTCAACATTACTGACGTTTCAGCAGCTGGTAACTAGAGTATCTGATCCGAGATAAATATTGTGTAGTAAACTGACGAATCTTCACGTAATTTATCTAAGTAAAAGTCTTTATGCTACATAAGTAATAGTACACAAGTATTATTGAAAACTGCAAAAGATTTGTGGTCAGCAAACGAGTTTTAAATTGTATCTGTAGTTAAACCAAGCATCTGGACTTTCAGTTGATCATTACGGTTCATCACATCTTCAGAAATGGTCTCAAGAAGCCTGGAGAACCATTTCTGAAGACTACTTAAAGAAACGACAAATTAAGCTAAGCGTGACCTTTCGCTGTGCTGAGTAAAGGTGGTCATGTCAAATACAGACTTTCATTAGAACTGGACAATTTTATGTTTGTACAGGTCTCTTTGTTGGTGTCTTGGTCGCTATTTGGGGGAACAAGGAGACAACCGCTCCAATTTTGGTGTGTTCTGAGAGAAATGGTGTTGGGGTGTCAGCACAGGACATTGGCACCTCATACCACCTACATGGAGTTTAACTGATTTATGGTATACTGTGGTGATCAAGTACTCAAATATTTTTGAGCAGTGTAAAATACAATAAAACAGACACACTGAGTTTGGGCAGTTTGTAAACACTGAGCATGAGAGATTTGTGTTGTTTTGAGCATAACCAGCAGATGGTGCTGAAAGGTGAGGAGGAGTCCGACTCTAGCAGCTGGGGGTGAATGGCCGGTTGGAGGCGTCTGTGGTGTGTTGATCAGACAAGGCATCGAGTCTGCGAACAAAATGAGCCAATACCACACAGATCATTTTATTCCTTTATTTTCTAATCTTACTTTCACCTTTACCTTTAAATTTTCTCTGTTTACAATGACTGAATTATAGCTCCCCAAGAACAATTAGGATTAGATCATTTTGGGGATCTCAGAAAAAAAAAAAAAAAAAAAAAAATACAGCTGTAACCAATACTGTTATAATTTATACATTTATCTTCGAAAATAGTTTTACAGTTTATTCTTTTCCTCTACAATATTCTCTTTTAATCTTCCCATGTCACATAATGGTAAGCCATGCACTACTCCAGTAGTGACGTTTGTGCCTTGAGCAAACTTTCTTTGGACACTGGAAGTGAGCGTGAGATGAAAGAAACAAAAATAAAAGAAATCCACAAAAAGAGGAGAAAAAAAAAAAAGACAATTCATATTTACAGTTTAGATTTCATCATTATAATTTAACAAACTGACAGTCACGTGGTCAGTGCTTTCCCCAGGGCTCATGATCAGGTTTGTTTAGAGGCAAAGTTTGAGACAGAGGCACAGTGTTTAGACTAGCAGGCCAGTTTCTTCTTCTTTCCTTTCCAAGCCGAGAGCTTGTTTTGATCATTTACTAGAACAGGAGAAGTGTTAATAAAAGTGAATCCTAATGGATAACTTGATCTGTCAATGTTTAAATATGTCTTTGGTCATTTTTAAAAGGCAGGAGTAAAATGAAGAGAGATCTGGTTAAAGTGCAATCACCTTCAGCTCTGCTGAAAGAAAAGATTTTGTCAGCTCTGTGGCTTCACCGACTAATCAAACTGTCGCCAGTCATCAAACTGTCTGTCAGAAAGACAATAAAACACCAATCGAGTGTCATGTATCCCGCTGTGCGCAGTTGTCGTCCTGTTTCTACATTATAGCATAATAATGGTTCAGTATTATAAAGAATCTGTTGTGGAAACCCCCCCCCCCAAAAGAAACAAAAAACCAGAACCACAGAAAAAGAAAGAAAAAAAAAAAAGGGCAGGAAGCTGAACAGAGAGCCTGGATACGAGGTTTTGTGTGTCACGTCGAGGTCTCAACCTACAGCTCTGCCGACCGATGTTTCAGCGTATGATTCTTCAGTGAGAACAAGTCAAACAAGTAAAATATACATTAAGAAATCTGTGTTTCCATGCAGTACCTGACTCCATCTGGGAAGACGACAGTAGAAAACTGCAGACTCAGCCGTATCTAAATCACAACACCCAAGAGGTCAGAGCAGCATCAGCACAATGGAAGAGAGCCCAGACCTCAACAGATCACCGCACTGAGCAGGTCACATTCAAGCTTTGTTTTGTGTGTTTGCTGACTGCCCCAAACATTATATAACTTTGCTTTAAACTCTCTGAATTCGGTAAATTCGCCCACAGATTCATTCACTGTGAATTAATCACCTCCCCTCATGAATTCAAAAATGTACAAATATATTTTCAGCAGAACAGATCACAGATCAGAGTGTAAGTCGAATAAATATCTGCATGTGATTTAAAATGAGAGAAAAGAGAAACCCAAACGATACTGTACACGCTACATGCTAGAGAAGAGTACAGGCAGCTGTCTCTCAGCATAAGACAAGAAAAAGAAACGCTCTTATTTTTTTTCTCCTGACTATAAAAATACCTAGAATCTAGAATGAGTGTAGAAAAAACTTTACATGTACAAGTCATTTACATCCAAGGCCATTTTTCATGGAGTGGCAGGTGAAGAAGAGGAGCGGTGAGATAGACTTCAGAGGTGAACGTGTGAAAAACAGGAATTCATTTTAGCATGTGTGTGTGCAGAACGCCATGCTGTTTGGACAAAAATAACCCCCTCCCCCCAGTCTTCATGATACGAGTCCAACAAGATGCCTGGCATGTAAATCCAACTTAAACATCCACTTTCCAGGTCAGAGGGGGAAAAAAATGTCCATGTGTTTGAAGATGGCTGCAGAGTACCGATGAGCACAGAATCAGTCCTTGTTCCTTCTTGCCGTCCTTCTCATTTACAGCAATAAGGAGAAACGTTTTAAGCAGAGGAAATGGAGAGCAGCTTTTCTTTATCCTGTCCCTTCAACCCACCCATCAATGTCCACTTCATGGGCCAGCATTATTGCTACCAAGGTCTGCCACTTCTCCTCAATGTTATATGCAGATTAGGTCTGGCTGACAGTCAACAGAAAGCTCATCTGAGCTCTCAATGACAAACTAATCTGAAGTCATGGCTGCAGGATTTTTCCTAAATAAACTCAATTTAATGTAATTATATTAGAGCAATGTAACACCCTCCCCCAATACAGCACGAGTGAGATTCCTTCAGGAACAAATCCCACACTTAACAATCTTCATTTATGATTTCATCCCTTTACAATAATTTTTTTTTCTATTCCATCAACAAAAACAATATTTAAATCAAAATGTAGTGCAAAAGACAAAGTCTGGATTCTTCTCAGTTGTCATTTGTAAGCGTTTCAGTCACAACGACATTTCCACTGACAACAAATCGCTCGTGAAGGAAAAACAAAAACTGATAAGCTTCCCTGTCGCTTTCACTCAGCAAGAGAACGCAGAGGTCAGGTGGGCTGGACTTCACTGAAGCCAAACTACAGTTTCCACCATCACTCGCCAGCTTCCCTTCAAGTTCAGTTCAAGTGTCTGGAGAGTTAAAGTCAGTATACCCAGCCTATACTTTGTGCAATAAATGGGAGATATCTAAATGTTTGTGCCAGTGAGTGAGGGGAAATGTAGTGTTTCCAGCCCACCTGAAGACCCGCAGGACCCTGTTTCATTGTAAAAATAAATGATTAAGCAACTTATAAAGCACACAGATCCTTTACTTAAAGGTTTCAAGAATGTTTTCCACTCCTAGTGTTGCCAAGCTTCTTCCAAAACCAGAGCAAAAAAGGGGAATGGTGAACACATCAAATACACACACACACACACACACACACACACAAAACCCCTTGAGGCATTCCTTGTCTGCGACCCAGCAGAAGTTCCCTGGAAAAGACGGCTGAACTCTGTTAAAGGAGAGAAGCGCGCGGGGCTACGAAGCACTGCAAACTTTTAAAATGTTAAGGACAGATTCTACTCGGCTCCTGAGCGGCGCTTCATACGGCTTTTGTTTAAAAACACGATTCAGCGCGGCTCAGATGATCTGAGCCATCATGCTGCCACCATCCCAGCAAGCCTTTGCTGACTGAACTGAGGCATAACTAATGAAGACTTTGATCGCCTTTTACTTAAGGCCTTCAGGTATAACTGATCAGGTTTTAGCTCTAGCATCGTTTGGAAAAGGGGTTTCTACTTTGTAGGATATTTCCCTCTCACACACATTTACACATTCATTCACTCAAACGGGGAATCTTGGGTCCCTCTAGCCACGAACATGGACGTCATCAGAACCCAAGTGTTATCAGGAAGGCCGACACAGACGCTCACAAAAAGCACAGACTCGATGGGTACTTAACCAAAAATAAACTAGCTTATTTGTCAACGACAGCCATGAACTGTTTGTCAAATCCTCTCTGATGGGGGGAGTTGGGCGTTACTGTTTATTTTCTCCTTCCAGAATATTTTTATATCCTCTATTAGAAATATCTCCAATTTTCTTAATTGCAGTCCGTAGAGTTCCTCTGGCTGTTTATTTGACCTCGAGGATGGAGGGGTTGGACTCCATGATGGCCACGATGATTTTGTCAATATAGTCCTGGAGCCTGTAGTTGATCTCCTCCTGCTTGTGAATGGCCTCCATCAGCTGGAAACAGAGAGAAGCAGAAGTGAGGGAAAAGCCGACAGCGAATGCGGTTCATGACTTCTTTCCCCATTTCCTCAACCTACCTCTGTGCGAGACACAGAGTTGATCTCTGCAGCCAGGGAGTCAGAGAAGGATGCAGACATCAAATTCTTTGCTCCTTGGATGCTCAGGTTGATAATCTGGCCGTTTAATTCGTCATTCTGCT